TCTACGGTTGCTAGTCATCTCAGCGAACTCTCTCACGTTAAACCTGGACCGGAAGGCCTTCCTCGAGCGCAGCATCTCAGAGGTCGGCTGTCGGCATTGGCGTCGACCATTCCTATTTGTCAGCTCGTTCCGCTGCCTGAGCGCAGACGCGCTCGATGGGTTCGCTCGCTGCGCACCTTGTCGGGCATCGCGAGCGAGTCGTTGGCCAAGTTGACGGAGGCTGCGTGCAAGGCAGCTCATCAGTCGCAGCGAGCGGTGGCCAATCAGCGCCTGCATGGCCATCGCGATTGGGTCTGCCAGCACGCGATCAACGGCATGGGGGCCCTACACCGTCACGTCAAGGATCCGATGGCGGAGGCCAGCGAGATTCGTTATGTGGGGGGTACCACTTTCGACGGAGCCTCGCTCATGGAGGCAAAGCGGGCGGTCTGGGACAAGCTCTGGTCGCCCGAGAACTTCAGCAGCGTCGACGCCATGAAGGTGCTCCAGGAGGCTCGCGCCTTGGCTCGGGAGGAGGACCTTCCTCCTCTCTCGCTGGATGGCCTCGAGGCGGCGCTGCTTGCTGTCTCGCCGTCCAAGGCGTCAGGCATCGATGGAGTTCGTTAGCATGATGTGCGATGGCTGCCTGAAGCGGGCCGCCAGCAGTTGCTCTCTCTTTTCCAGCAGGTCGAGTTAGCAGTAGCGCGGCCATGGCAGTGGCTCACAGCTATCATTGTTTTGTTGCGAAAGCCTGATGTGCGCAAGGATCGCGCCATAGGCCTTCTCACCTGGTTGGGTCGTCTGTGGAGCCGAATGTGCTCTCGTCCTGCGGAGGTCTGGGCCGAGGCTCGCTCGGGCCCTTGGGACGCCGCGGTTCGAGGGAACAGTGCTCTACGGGAGGCTCTGCTCAGGTGCTATGCCGACGAGGCTGCCTTGTCGTCGGTGTTGCCTGAGTATTGTTCTGCATCTAATTTGTGGGACGTCGAAGCTTTTTATGACACTATCCGCCGGGGAAAGGTGGTGGCCCGCGCCCCCCATTTAGACTTCCCTGCTTTGTGTCTTTATTTGGAAGCTCTCCTGCACATGGGCCTTCGGATTTTAAAAGACGCGGGGCGCGCCCCCCCCCCCCCCCCCCCCCCCCACCCCCCAGCACCCATCAGGGGGCCTTGTTGCAGGAGCGAGGCGAGCGCCAGACTTCGCCAAGTGTCAAATGTTTTCGATTTGCGAGATGTCAGTCAGTGCGAGCTCGTTGGTACAGTTGCGAACCTGGATTGACGACGCCACTCAGAGAGCGGAGGGGACTCGCCGCGATGTTGTGGACCACCTTGTGCGCGCGGGAATCACCTTTGCTCAGGGGTGTGCTCAGGAATGTCTTAAGCTAGCCTCCAAGTCCACTATCATTGCTTCTGACTTGGCGGTTGCTCGCGAGATTCAGGCCGGCTTGGGCGCGCACGGAGTCGTCGTCGAAGTCGCGTCGGTCGCCGCCGATCTGGGCATAGAGCGCGGGAGTGGAGCGAAGAATTGTAAGCCTCGCCACGCCGAGCGCATTGCCCAGGCGCATCGACGCGTGCATCGCATCAACAAGCTGGCCCGAGTTGCCCCGCGCAAGGTGGGGCCTAAGCTTGTTCTCACGGGAGCCCTCCCCCAGGCCTCGCACGCTTGGAAAGTGTTCGGAGTTGCCCCTTCTGTGCTCTTGCAGTGGCGTCGCGCCCTTGCGAGCACCTTGTCAAGAGGGAATGTAGGCAGATGCTTCACTTCGATCTTGGCTCTGGAGGTTGGCCCCAAGGGTCCCGCTTTTAGTTCGGTTTTTTCGCTCCTGGAGTCCTGGTTTCAAATCGTGTCCAGGGTTTCGGAGCAGTCCCTCCCTAGAATGCACCGCTGCTGGAGGGACGCGGTCCAAAGAATTCGGGGCCTGGGGCCGAGGCGTCGCTGGCACAACATTCGGGGGCCGATTTCGGCCATCGTCGCCGCGATGCTGGGTCTCGGGTGGCAGTTGGATGGGCCTTGGCAATGGACAGCTCCGACGGGTGAAGAATATGCCCTTCCCGATGAGCTCCGCTCCGAGGCTTATATGACATCCGATTTCAAACAGTCAGTTGCGAATTCGATCGAGGCTCAATTGTGGGCTGGCGCCTCCAAGTTCCGCAACGGTCTCGGCTCGGAAGCAGGCATTGATTTCACTGTTGCTCGTCGTCATCTTGCTAGCCTGCGCAAAAAAAAAAAAAAAAAAAACAAAAACCTCAAGCAAGCTGGCCTGCTCAGAGCGATTATCACAGGTGCTGTGTGGACTCGTTCTCGCATCGTCAATGCGGGAGGTGATTGTTCGGAAGTTTGTCCCAGGTGCGGGCTAAGTCCTGAGACCGACGTTCACAGATTTTGGGAATGCCCTTGTAATTCAGAGTTTCACGAAATCTCTGAGCCCCTTGCCAGGCGAGGGGTCACGGCGGCCGAGGAATGTCCTGTGCTCTGGCTCCGCGGCCTCACACCCAAGTCCTGGACACACGTTCCCCCTCCCCCCGGTTCGCCTCTCTCCGCGGCGTCAGGTGCCGTTCCCCTGGTGGAGGGGCGTCGCATCTGGGGTGCGGGGGGCGCTAGTGGGCGGGAGTTCTCGAGGGATCGTAGGCTCAGGAGGGTGTCTTGGGGCGTCGTGATTTTTGGGCTGAGTTTAGAAGAGCTCCCCTTGTCTAGTGCCGCGTCCAGCCTGGCGTTTATTGCTGGGGGTGGTATCACTGGCAAGCAGAGTGTCGCTCGGGGGGAGCTCTGGGCCCTTCTCAAGTTTTTGGAACAGAGCCCCGAAGGTGCCCAGCCCGGTTATATAGCCGACTCTGCGAATGTGTCCAGAGGCGTGGCTCGTATCGCTGCTGGTCTTGGAGCCTGTGTTTCGAGCCACCGTGATTTGTGGGTGCGTGTGCGTGAGCTGCTGCGCGTTAGGGATCTGTACCTCGTCCGTGTGCCCAGCCACTTGTCTGTCCAGGAGGCTGGCGAGAGAGGTCTCAACCCGAGCCTTGTGTTGGCTAACGCCATTGCCGATCACATCGCTGGTGAATGTGAGAAGGAAGTCAGAATGCCATATGCTGTGGGTGCGGCTGTCCAGATGGCCGACGCCGTCACGCGAAAGGTTCAGCACCACCTTCTCAGCGTTATGAATGATGTGCTGGATAAGGAGGGCAAGAGGCCCCCGCGTCCGCCCAAGATTCGTGTGCGCAATACTCGTGCGAAACTGCTCAGAACCGCAGCTCTGAATTCAGCTCACAGTTGCCCGCAGATCGCGGGAGATTTCGGTCAGTGCCGTAAGTGTGGATGCCGTGCCAAAGCCAGCGAGCTCAAAGCCTTCCTGGGGACCCCCTGCCGCCCGATGTCCTGGACGGGGGCGGTTTTTCGGCCCACGGGGGCCGTGTGTGTGTCCGCTCGAGGGAGGCGCACGGCTCACACCAGCTCTGCTTTTGGCCTGACCATGATGGTTTGTACTGCACTGTTTGTGGGTGCTACTCTACCAGTCAGTTGAGAGAACTGGCAACCGAATGCTCGTCTGTTTTATCCAAGGCGGGAGCTCAAAACCCTAGCAGAATAGGTCGTGGGCTCCTTCCTGGCTCGTGCGTTTGGGGTAGGGAGCGGCAGGAGGGGAGGGAGAGAGGGAGCGGGCAAAGAGGGGAGAGCGCCGCGGCCGCGGCCCGCCGCGCCGCGTTCAACTCGGACGTGGGTGGGCGCTGTCAGGCGCCGCCCCGCATCCGCCCCCCCCCCCAACCCTCCGCCGCCGCCGCTCATCCTTGATTCGAACTTCGGTCATTGAGACCTTGCCCTATATACTCCTCCTCCTCCTGCTCCTGCTCCTGCTCCTCCTCCTCCTCCTCCTCCTCCTCCTCCTCCTCCTCCTCCTCTGCCTCCTTCTCCTCCTCCTCCTCCTTCTTCTCCTCCTCCGCCTCCTCCTCCTCCTCCTCCTCCTACATCCTCTCTTCTACCTCCTCCTCTTCCTCCTCCTCCTCATCCTCCTGCTCATGCTGCTCTCCTCCTCCTCCTCCTCCTCCTCCTCCTCCTCCTCCTCCTCCTCCTCCTCCTCCATTCCAACTCCTTCTATTTCAATGCACCCTGTCGCACCCCGAGGCCAGTTTTTAGTGCGGGCTGGGCTTTTCGCCTGAGACGTCCTCACCATTTATGACCCTGAAGCGTAAACATTGGCAACATACTCACAGATGGAGGGCGGGTCGTTTTCAAAATGTGGCTCTCGCCTTAGCGCCGCGCACACCCGCTGTCAAAATTTGCAAGAGTTTCACATATTGAGGGCGAGTGACTTTCAAAATGTGGCTCTCGCCTTAGCGCCGCGCACATTCGTTTTAAGAATTTGCTAGAGCTTCACGGATTGAGGGCGGGCCGTTTTCAAAATGTGGCTCTAGCCATTAGCGCCGCGTACATTCGTTTTAAGAATTTGCAGGAGGTTCACGGATTAAGGGCGGTTCCTTTTCAACATGTGGCTCTCGCCTTAGCGCCGCGCACATTCGTTGTAACAAAGTGCAAGAGCTTCACGGATCCTCATGATCGATGTACCAGAACTTGTGCTTCGGAAAGATTCACGATTACGAGAGTGCAACAGTTGCGATGGTTCGCGGTGTTGAAGTCCCAAGAATGGCGTTCTGGCACGATTCAAAATCGTCAGGACGCAATAGTCAGGTTTATCCGTGGCGTTGGGATGCCGAGAAAAATGCTGTGGCATGCTTCAGGGTCTTCAAACGATTAACTTCCAACGAGGCAGGTCCCTCTGCGGAAATGAACCTATGTAGGGGCCTATGAAGAGGGAGCTTGGGGGGGAGGGCTCATTCCAACATTGTTGGTGACTCTTGGGTTTACACTGGTCCGCCTCCTCCTCCTCCTCCTCCTCCTCCTCCTCCTCCTCCTCTCCTGCAGGGTGCAGCGCTGGAGGAGGAGGAGGAGGGGGGGGTTAGGAGGGAGGGGCGGACGGAGGGATCACGCTACACATGCGATCAACAGCGCCGTGCGCCCGTCCGCTTCGTGCCGGGCGGAGCCGCAACGGTGTGATCTGCTTGAACACGAGCGAGCCGGTCGACAGCATCCAGTAGACCCGGGTGTCATCTATGGTAGAGCCATCGGTGGAGATGAGGTAGCGGAACCTCCCTCGCCCCCCTCGCTAGACCCGAGTGTCGTGTGTCGAGGTGGACCCATCGGCGAGGATGAGGTAATGGAACCTCTCTCGCCCTCCCCCCCGCTAGGGGCCTGGAGACACTTAAGCTGTCCCTCGACTCACGCTGAATTGTTCCACGATTCATCCAAGGTTATCCTCCAGGTTCACCACGATCTGCATCGGATTGCGTCGGCTTGTTTACATCGGTTCGTCTGGCATCATCCGCGCAAGCCGATGGGAGAAGGGTTGTCAAGCCCGTCGGGGCCCTTGCGGTAAGCTCCTGCAGTGGAGGTATGGGCAATGGGTTCTGCCACCGCGTGGACCATACAATCTTAAACAGAGTTCGCTGCCACGGAGAGGGGAAAGAGGGAAGAAGTGAGAGGGATGAATAGAAGGCGAGGTGAAGGAAATTGGGAGGGAGCGCAGGAGGGAAGGTAGGACAGGGGTATTGTGAACGACGAGGCAGGGTGCAGGAGGCAACGTCAGAGAGTCGAAGGATGGGGAGGGGCACGAACCAGAGGGAGCAGAGCAAGAATCGGAGAACGACATAGGGAAGGACGAGGGAGGCGGATGGAAGGAGGGGGCAGGACCCACGGGCCCAATTTTATCATGATAGTGAGCGTGTGAGGGTGAGCGGGGGGGTAGCGTCTGTACTGCGAGACCGCCCTCTTTCTCCTCCTCATCCTGACCCGCATTCACCTCCTCCGCCTCCTTCACCCCCTCCCTCCCTCCCCATCCCTCCTCCTCCCTCCCTCCCTCCTCTCTCCTCCTCCCACTCCCTCCTCCTCCTCCTTCTCCTCATCCGTAGCTTTTTTGGCTCAAGCCGTCCACCGCCAACTTGCAGACAAGTCGCTCGCTGAAGAGCAACCATAGGGGGGACTGGCAGAGGGGGGGACGCATCGACCTGGAGTCGGCGATGCATCGCCGATAGATCGGCGACAGGCCTCAGACAGTGAATCCGCACCTTCCTGGGCAGGTCGGGGCCATCGGGCCCATATCGGCGATCAACGGGCGATTGGGGGTCGATGCATCCCCCCTATTGAAGGGACCCTGGGACACACAAATAAATAGACACAAATAACAGGATTCCCCATATTTCCCCATATGTTCCCGGTTTTTGCATTCCCCCCCCTTCACTTCCCAAATTTTTCCACATTTTCCTGGGAATCGACGATTGATTGTCTGTGTTTTTTTTTCCTCTCCTGACCTCTGCCTATCCCCCTGACTCGTGGACGAGGCCCTGCTCTCGGCGACGGCCCGCCTCGACGCCCCGCCCGAAAGCCGCCGCGGAGAGCTCGGAGGCAGGCTGGAGGCGCGGGGCCGATTCGTCTGCTGCCGCACCAGAGGCTCGACCGCACCCTCGGCAGCCACCACCACCTGCCTCGGCAGTCACAACAAACCCGCCTCGGCGACGCGCTGCGGGAGGTGGTCAACATCGCTGAGGTTAGGGGAGCGAAGAATGACATAAATATTATCCCAGTGCGACCCTACCTAGGAGTTGGAACCCCTAGGAAAGCAGCATTAGTAGTAACAGTAACGCTAAGCTAAAGCTAAGCTAAAGCTAAGCTAAAGCTAAGCTAAAGCTAAGCTAAATCTAAACTAAAGCTAAGCTAAAGCTGAGCAACAGCTAAGCTAAAGCTAAGCTACAGCTAAGCTAAAGCTAAGCTAAATCTAAGCTAAAGCTAAGCTAAAGCTAAGCTAAATCTAAGCTCAAGCTAAGCTAAAGCTAAGCTAAACGCTAAGCGAAAAGCTAAGCGAAACGCTAAGCGAAACGCTGAGCTAAAGCTAAGCTACAGCTAAGCTAAAGCTAAGCTGAAGCTAAAGCTAAAGCTAAATCTAAAGCTCCCAGGGGACTGGGGGGAACCGCTCCCAGGGGACTGGGGGAACCGCCCGGGGCGCTTTGCACTGCCCGGCCCCTTTAAGCTAAGAGAGTAAGAACCCTCTAGGCAGAGCCTAGGTAGGGAATTAAAACTCGGAGGTCCGCGCCGATTTCTCGGGTCCAGCGCCGATCAGAGAAATCCGCGCGGACCTCCGAGTTTCTCTGTTTATGTCATGTTTCGTTCCCCTAAACATCGTTGAGATGCCCGACGGGTGGATGGAGCAGAGCATGCAGGTCGAGTCAGCGGGTGCTCGTGCCCGCCACGAGGCTCAAATGCACGACGAGCGATATGTTTCTAAATCACGGGTTCCGACATTGAGCATCGTCTAACCGATCCCTATCCCTACCTGTGTGGCCTGGGCCTCGCTGGCCGATTTGCCCTCCCCCCCCCCCCCCCAGATGGGGAAACAGGCTGTTCCCTTCAGGTTTCGTGGTATATATATATATATATATATACACCCAACTGGGGTGGTGAGATGGTGGTGGGGCTTAAGATGGGGATGGGGAAGGGGACTGGGGTCGGTGAAACGATAACCTGGTCGAAGCGTGGGGGAGAGCGCGGATGTCTGGGTGTGGGCCGGCGCTCAGCCGGCCTGCTTCTGCCAGTCGCGCCAGCAGACTGGGGGTGGGGGTCCTGACCAGTCGCCGGCAACCAACGCCGCCAACAGCAACCAAGATCTGGTCCATCAGACAAGCGCGTTCCACTGCTCGCAGAAGAGCTACTCGCACATCCTATGTGCGAGTAGCTCTTCTGCGAGCAGTGGAACGCGAGGGATGTGCGATCCATGGCAGAGAGGAAAGCATGATGTTCGTCTTCAGACTCTTGCGAGGAAACACTCTGCGAGCTATTTGCGGAAGGCGTTCGGTGACCTAGGGAGGGAGGGGGAGGGAAAGGGGGGGGCGGGGCCTGCGCCGAGCGGCGAAGTACATATATATATATATATATATACATATATACATATATATACACATCCATACATACATACATACATACATACACACATACATACATACGTACGTAGGTACGTACGCACAAACATATATACATACATAATTACATATTTACATACATATATGCATGCATGCATACATACATACATGCATGCATAGATACATACATACGTACGCACATACATACATACATCTTTCAGTGGGTTAGCGGGGCCATTACGGAGCCTACACACGCCGAAGCTTCTATTCACAAGCGGAGCGTCGGAGCAGGCGCAAGCCTACAGGATATCACTTTCTCACAGCAGTCTCGCACGAGCTGAACAGAACGATCCAGGAAAAAACGAATGACGAGGCGTCGCCAGAGAATCTCTGAGCTGCGTGCCGAGGAATCCGATCAAAGCTCGAGCACTCTCCAGTAAACAGAAAGTCAAAAAGGAGCCGCCGCAAAGGGCGGGCGGGCGGGGCGGCTACAGACCCAACCCCTCCCGCAGAGGAAAGACAGTCGTCGACAGCACATCTTTCAGTGGGCTAGCGGGGCCATTACGGAGCCTACACACGCCGAAACTTCTATTCACAAACGGAGCGTCGGAGCAGGCGCAAGCCTACAGGATATCACTTTCTCACAGCAGTCTCGCACGAGCTGAACAGAGCAATGCAGGAGAAAACGAATGACGAGGCGTCGCCAGAGAATCTCTGAGCTGCGCGCCGAGGAATCCGATCAAAGCTCGAGCACTCTCCATCCCACCAATCTTTATTGTCGTCTCTCAGGGTGGGCAGGATGGGACACCCAAACGTTTGCCAGCGCTAGATTCCTGATCGAGTTGGCGGCGGCAAGCATCATCTTCTTCAACGAGTCGCGGCCTGCTGGGTCGGGGAGTGCAGCGCCTGCTGGGATTTTGTTGCGGATGGCCGCTGCCTGGCGCAGGAGCTTGCCCTTGTACCTTTTCACACTGCGAGGCGCCGACCAGCGGCCCTTCGTTTGGAGCATCTTGAGGTCGAGGAGCTGCAGGTGCATGGCTGGGCTGGCGCCGTCGTGCCACGCCAAGTGCGGGGTGACCCGGGGCGGGTTGAGGACGGCCAGCTGCGCGCCCTTCAGGATGTGGCGCTCGTACTCGCCCAGACTCAACGGCGAGAAGAGCGGCTGGCATGGGATCGCGCACTTCTGGAGACCCAAGAATACCTCCAGGGCGAACTCGAAGCCCAGGCCCCAGAGCTTGTCGAGGACGGTGCCGTCGAACACCCCGCGGTCGGCCAGCCCCGCTGCCTGACGCTTGCGCGCCGCCGTCAACGTCGACGGCACGGGCGCCCCCACGGCAGCCGCGCGCACGGGGTCTGGGGCCACGGAGTTCTCGCGCAGGATGTTCAGCGTCTCGGGGGGCCTGGTGAGAGGGTCGTACTGCCCGCCGAACGCTCGGCCGCTGAGCCCCGAGCGCAAGGGCCCGTCCTCCAGAAGAGCTGCCGCCACCAGCGCCGCCGCCTCGCCCGGGCGGGGGCCCGCGGACACCGGGGGGTCGTCCCGGCGGAACCCCTGGAGCGACCGGCGGCAGCGCGGGCGCACGTTCGGCCCCGCGTCCAAGCCCAGCTCGAAGATCTTCCCGAAGAGCCCGTCCCTGGCGATGCTGGTCGCCTTTTTGCGCAGGTACAGCCCCTCGAAGAACGTCACAGGGATCGCGTCGAGGTTGTCCACGTCCTTGGCCAGCTTCATCACCGGCTGCTCGCGCAGGACCGCCCAGGCCTGGAACTCGTCGAAGGCCGCCGAGTAGCGGTCCTTGGTCGTCAGGCCCCACTCGCTGGAGGGCCCGCCCTCGGCCGCGCGGCGGCTGGCCTGCTCCCCGCGGGACAGGCCCGCCGGCATCGCGGCGGCGGGGCGCGCCTCCCTGGCCGTCGGGGCCGCCAAGGCTGCGCCGCCGCAAGCCGCCCTCTCCGTCGCCGCCGCGGCCTCTGGAGCGGGCTGCGCCTCGTTCAGGTCCTCGAGGGCCTTGGAGGTCACGCCGCCGCGGGCCGCCCTCCTCTTGGCCACTGCGACCTTCCGTGCAGGGCGAGGGCGCGCGGCGCCAGCAACCAGGCCCAGCGCGCCGCCGCTCGGCAGGAACGCGAACACCCCAAGCACCGGAGGCGCGCTCCCAGCCGATGACAAGGGCGGTAGGGCAGCGAGGCGGACGTAGGACCCCTGGCGCTGCCCCAGCACGGGCGGCGGCCTCCAGGTGAGTCCAGCGCCAGGCGGGCCCGCGGCCTCGGCGAAGCTCACCGTAGCGAGCCTCCGAAGGCGCGACACGGGCCGCACACCGCGCGATCGCGCGGCAGAGTCGGGGCGGGTACTGCCCAGCGAGCTTGGTAACCCAAACGCAGCGGGAATGACCAGCAGAAGTCGGTGCGGTGACCTTGCCCTCCAGAAGGATGCGCGGTGCCGTGCAATTACATCAAATCCCGATGGCGAGATCCAGGCCAGGAAGTGTCGAGGCTATACGAGTTGGCTTTCGATGAGGTGTCTCGAAGCGGCACATATCGAAGTCGATGAACGAGCACCCCAACTTGTTGAGAATAGTCTGCATAGGCCTCCACACCCATAACCGCGACGTGATCGGGTTTTCGACAGTGACGTATATTTTGCACTTGTCCGAGACGGCGAGGACGGCCCGAAGAACGCGAACCCATGCCAGAGCGCAACTTAGCCCTGCGCGGGCCGCTGGTGCCTCAGGAGACCCTGTAGAGCGAGCATGGGAGGCCCACGTGCATGGAGTCCCCAGGTGCACCCACCAGACACGGCCCTGACGGATCCACTCGATGATGAGTCCCAAGATGCCAAGGCGGCGGATGTCGAAGTGCGAGCAGTTGTCCAGCTCGAAGGGCACGGCCACGTCGAGCCCGGCCTGAAGGGCGGCCCCAGACAGATGATCGCAGCCTGCGAAAGGCTCTAGAACGAAGCGACTGGCATGACGACCAGCCGACGGCCGCGCCGCCTCGGGCCCGGCCACACAGCGGAGCTCCGCGGCAGCCAGGCCCCTCTCGGGCGTCGACGGCGCCACTGCAGCCCAGGCCGCCGAGACCAGGTCGCGCTGCAGAAGGTTCGATGCATCAGCTCGTCGTTGTGCACGCTGGCGTGCTGGCCCGTGGAGTGTGAAGGTGTCTCCGGGCGCCAGCTTCCCGCGGTCGCCGAGCCTGGAGTCCTTGTCGGAGGGGTTCCTGTCGGCGTCGACGTTCCTCCGTCGCCAGTCGACCCCGGCCGCCACCTGCCACGCGGCGGCCTCCCGACAGCAACTGTTGAGGGCGTAATTGCAGGCGCGCCCGCGCTCCTGCGCGAGCAGCTCGCTCAAGCTGTCGCCGAGCGAGACCACCACCGCGTCCTGCCCGCCAGCCGAACCGGCAGCCCGCCGCAGCCCCAGCAGCGCCGCGCGCGCCTCCAGCAAGTGGATCGCCTCGCGTCGCCGCCAGCAGCCAGCCACGACCAGCGACCAGCGCCCTGCGTGGGTAAGCCGACCCGGCAGCGGCGGCACCGTGCCCTCCACACGCTCGAAGTGCCGGTAGGGCGCCCCCAGTCGAGAGGGCGCTGCCACCGCCGCGCTGGGGACGCGGGTGTCCTCCCGCACGGCACCCACCATCACTGTCGCCCAGTCCTGACCGGTGTCCGGGCCGATGGCCGCTGCAGCCGGCACGTCGCGGGACTCGCGGTCGACGTGCTCCATCACCTCGCGGAAGCGCCACCTCTCCTTCCACTGGGCCACGTCGAAGACCTCGGCCAGCCCAGCCGTGGTCTCATGGAACGCATACCCGAGCAGGGAGGCATCCGAACACCAGACGGTACGGCACAGTGGTCGCCTCAGGTCAGCGTCCGCAAAAGGCAGCATGGACCGCGCGATCCACAGCTCGCCCCAGACATCGGCCGGGAGGATGGCGACCTTGCCCAGCTGCTCGCGCGAGAAAGCGTACACCCTCTGCAGGATGGAGAGCAGCGGCGGCCGCAGCCCGAAGTGGTGGCAGCGGTGCCCGCAGAGCACCCGCATGGCGTCGCCAGACAAGCGCCCCAGAGTCAGGACGCGGCCGAGTGCCGACCATAGGCGCCAGCAGCGCGCGCGGCGCAGGCGGCGACGCGGCCCGTCCAACACGAGGCCCAGGAACTCGAAAACTGGCTCGCCGTCGACGTGGTCCCGAAGAGCGAACCCTCGTCGACGCAGTGCGCCCAACACGAGGTCGAAGACTCGCCGGCCCTCGTCGCGCCCCACCGCCAGCATGTTCGCGTTGTCGACGTACGGCGCCAGGGCCGGCACGCGCGGCCCGATGCACGCAGGCCGCTGACGATCGCCCTGTCTCCCGCAGCGCCTCGCGCATGCACTCCGAGATAGCCTCGTTGCAGAAGTAGAGCGCCCACGACCAGCCCATAGCCATCCCGAGGAAGCACGCCTCGAGGACTTCGGTCGGTTGGACGGGGTCGGCGGCCTGCAAGTCGTCGTCAAACACGTCGTTGAGCGCGATCCCAAACTCGTCGGCGACGCTGGAAGCCGTACCGGTGTAGCCCAGGCCAAACATGGACGCCAGCGCATCACACTTGAACTGGCAGAAGCCGTCGGTCAGGTCGATCGAGAACCCAACCAGCTCATCGTCGCCAGGCGAGTCGAGCTCCGCCTGCGCCACGCGCCCGAGCCTCTCCTGGACCATGCGGAAGGACTCGTCGCTGGCCGAGAGCCTCGCACAGCCAGCTGGCTGAGCGGCGGGGCGTGGTACACGCGGTTGGCCCACCTCGAGTCGATCACCAGCCGAAGCATGGAGCCCTTCTCCTTGACGAAGAAGCACCCAACTCGGCATCGAACACGTCGCCGCCAGGTAGGCAGCCCCGCAGCGGACAACGCCCGCAAGAACTCCAGCTTCTTCGCCCGGCTGTTCCTGAGGATCGGGTCCCAGTACGGCTGCCCGCGAAGCGCCCCCGAGTCCACGTCAGCGCGGAGCTCGGCGTCCGACTTCAGGATGTGCACATGCGGGGCGTCGATCAGCTTCGCGGCCTCTGGCGACGTGACGGACGCCGCGTCCTTTGGGACCAGGTCGCCTTTCGACACCCTCAACTTGTCGATGTCGTAGGACCCCAGCGCGGCGCCAGCCGCCACGGCGTAGAGGTCGTCGGAGTGGAGCAAGTCCGCGAGAGCGCCCTTGCCCGAGGGCACACTCCAGTCGGCCAGCAGCGGACTAGAGGAAACGCGCAGCCGCTCGACCGCCTGGCGTTGCCAGGGGGAGAGGCGCGCGAAAGCGAGACTGCTCGCGCGATGCCGGTGAAGGAGTGGCCAACCGCGGATGCGCCTCCCGCAGGGCAGACAGCGCCACGGCAGCGTCCGAGACGAGCAGGTCCGGGCACTGAGCGACGTCGTTGACCAGGGAGACTCGTCGGCGTGCCGACGACTGGCCCGACAAGGGCAGGGATGCCTCGAAGAAGTTCCGGGGAAGCTGAGGCAACACTTCCCCGGGCCCGCAGCCGGCGCTCAGCCGCCGCCCCCGCCCCCGGAGGAGGCGCCCTTATTCTTGTCCTCGTCGTTGTTCCTCGGGCCCTCCTAGTCCCTGGAGTTTGCCACCAGCTCCTCGCGCGGCAGCCTATTCTGCTTGAGGGCGCGCCCCACATGCTCCGCGGGCGTCGCCATGTGCGCCGTGACCTCCCGCATCGCCAGGCCGCCCCCATCGTGCAGCGCGTGCTCCGTCATCTTGGCCAGCCCTTGGACGAACGGCGCCTTCGGGATCACCCGCTCCGTGCGCTCGATCTGCAGCACGCGCCACGCGAACAGCTCGAGGCTCGCCAGATTCCTGGCATCGAGGCAGTCGCACCCAAAGGCCAGCGCCAGCACGTGGCAGTGGACACGGTGCTCCAACGCGACGCTGCCCTCCGCGTGAACACCCGCCTGACGCACCTAGTGCGCGTGGTAGGTGAACAGCGCGAGCCCGAGCGCCACCAACCCGCGGACGAGCTCGGTCACCCCCCGCGGCCTCCAATGGGGCCAGCCGACGATCTCCGCCAGGTCCGTCGGCCGGAAATGGTCGGCCGCCTGCGAGAGCGGAACGAACCCCGACACGAAGTCGTTGCCGCGCGTGGGGAGGTGTCGGCGATCCCGCCCATCTCCACTCGGCTTGTCGCGCTCGTAGATGGCGTACTTGGGACTGGGTACCAGCTCCGCGAACCACCACCGCCGAGCCTCGCCCCAGTTGACGAGGGCCACGGCGCTCTTCACGACGCCAGCGATCGCCACCTCGTCCGACGGCACCTCCAGCCCGAACCTGAGCGCGCTGGTGTCTCCGTCCCGCCAGCACACCCCGCCGCCAGCCACGGGCGACCCTGCGACCTCCTACGCGCCCATGATGACGGCCAGCCGCGTGCCCGCAGCGTGGTGCCCCTGCAGCTCGCCGTTGGAGAGCGCCGTGAGCATGCCGCAGTCCCCCGCGACCCGCGCCGGCACCGCCGCGCCTCGCGCCAAGGGGAGCAGCCCGAACCCGCTGGGGTCCACGATCTCGAGCCCGCCATCGGAGTCGAGGGCGACCCTGCGCGACTCCCTGATGCGCCGCAACGGGAGCCTGTGCTGCCACGTCTCTGTATAGCCCTCGATACCGGCCAGCACCTGCGGCTCGCCGACGTTCAGCCCCCAAGCAGCACGACACTATCCTCCGCAGCCCGACCAACAGCGCCGACCTGCCTCAGCACTGCCGCTGGCTGAGGCTGCTCAGCAGACGGCATCACAGTCCAGGCGCAGGGTGAGCGAACTCCGTGCTGGGCGGCGTCACAAAATGAGACGCCTGCGCTCCAGCCGTCGAGCTGCCGACAGGAGCGGACGCCGCCCGTCCAGGAACCTCCTTCGAGGTGCCTGGCTCGTCGACGCCGTGGCTTCTTCGTCCGCGTCGAGATCATCTCCTTGCCCCCCGCCGCCCTCGCCCACCCCCTTCACCCGACCAGACAGAGCGGCAGGCAGCACCGAGTTGGTGCCACAAGGCACACGATCCCCAGCACCGCCGCCGCCAGCCGCCACCACTCCGAGGCGGCCTGCTGGCCGAGGAGCTGCCGCAGCTCCTCGTCGTCCGTGCCCACCGGGCACGTGCACTCGACGGCGTCGGGCTCCCCGTCCCACGCCGCGTGCGAGCCCTCCACGGACGCGACGCACGCCGCGTGCCAGCCCCGAACGCGCAGTGACCGGCCCAGCCGAGCGTCGCCGCAAGGACCGAGGTCAGGGGCTCCCAACCTGGGTCCATCAGGCGCCGCGCGAGGACCGGGAGCTGGAGCCAAAGCGGCTACAGACCCAACCCCTCCCGCAGAGGAAAGTAAGTCGTCGACAGCACATACATACATACATACATACATACATACATACATACATACATACATACATGCATGCATACATACATACATACATACATACATACATACATACATACATGCATACACATATACATACAGACTTATATTCATGCATGCATACATACATTCACATATGTGTGCATACACTTACATGTATGCGTGCATGCATGTCTGCATACATATATATGCATGCGTATGTGTGTATGTATGTATGTATGTATGTATGTATGTATGTATGTATGTATGTATGCATGTGTGTGTATGTATGTATGTATGTATGTATGTATGTATGTATGTATGTATGTATGTATGTATGAATGTATGTATGTCTGTATGTATGTATGTATGTATGTATGTATGTATGTATGTATGTATGTATGTATGTATGTATGTATGTATGTACTTATGTATGTGTGTCTGTATGTATGTATGTATGCATGCATGCATGCATGCATGCATGTATGTATGTATGTATGTCTGTATGTGTGCACGAATGCATGTGTATATGTATGAATGTATGAATGCATGTATGTATGCATGAAGGTATGCATCCATGCATGCATGTGTGTATGTGTGTATGTGTGTATGTATGTGTGTATGTATGTATGCATACGTGTACATATGGTTGTACGTACCGTATGTATGCATGAATGCATGCATGCACGCATGCATGTGTGTATACATGCATGCATGCATGTATGTATGTACGTATGCATGTGTATGTGTATGTGTAGGTAAGTATGCATGCATGCTTGTATGTATGCATGCATGCATGCGTGTATGTGTGTATGTATGTATATTTGCATGTGTGTATGTACATATGTATGTATGTACGTACGTATGTATGAATGAATGTATGTATGTCGGAGGTTGGGGGGTGAGATCGCAGTGGAACGGAGACCCCCACCGGGAAATCGGTTTCGGTTTCGTGTTCGTGTCGTGAGTGCGGGCGAGGCGAAGCTGCGCGTGATCCTCCTGTAGCTAGGCCGAAGTAGGAGCGAAAGTCCGTTCCCCGCCCGCGGGTGGCCCAAATGGGCCGGGCGGTGTCCCGGGTGTCCCGGGTGTCAGTAGGAGCGGAAATCCGTTTCCCGTCCGCCGGTGGCGGGGAAGTGTCCCACTTGGGGCGGGCGGTGTCAAGGGTGTCCCGGGCGTCCCGGCGCTAACGCATGTCGCTAATTTCATGAATCATTTTGTTCGGCGCCTGCGGCGGGCTTCCTTATCCAATCCAGCTATCTTATCCAATCCATCTTGTCCAATCCAATCCATCTTATCTTATCCAGCCCATCTTGTCCCATCTAATCTAATCCCACCCAATCCAATCCACCCAGCCCAATCCAACAATTCATTTGTTTCTGCGCCTTATCCATCTTATCCAATCCATCCATCCATCTTATCCTATCACATCCATTTCCGGGCCAATCCTGTTTCCCGGGCCAATCCAATCCATCTTATCCTATCACATCCATTTCTTCCAATCCAACCCATCTTATCTTATCCTATCCATCTTATCCCACCCAATCCAATCCATCCAACCCAATCCATCAATTCATTTTTGTCGGCGCCTGCGGCGGGCATTCTTATCCAATCCAGCTTATCTGCCCCAACACATATTATCTTATCCAACCCATCTTGTCCCATCTTTATCTTATCCCACCCAATCCAATGCATCCAACCCAATCCATCAATTCATTTGTTTCTGCGCCTGCGGCGGGCGGGTCGGTCGACGGCTAGTAGATAGTGGGATCATTGTGGTGGAGGGAGACTCTGATAGAGAGGGAGAGAGAGAGAGAGATGGATAGAGAGAGAGAGAGGGAGAGAGACAGAGAGAGAGAGACAGAGAGACAGAGAGAAAGAGAGGGATGATATCAAGGTGACAGGCTGGAGGTCAGTCAGGGTGGGCATTTGATCTCAATCCCCCCCGACCTCCTTATCGCCCGCAGGGCGGTCGCATAAGTATATATATATATATATATATATATATATATATATGTATATGTATATATATATATATATGTGCATGTATGCGCAAAGGAAAACAAAAAACTGCCCCCCGCCGCCCTCGGCTCCTGCTTCGGGCCTGCGCGCGGACGCGCCGACCTCCGCTCCGCAGGCTGCCGGCGCGGGGCCCCTGGGTGCTGCCGGGCACTGGCGCCGCTCCCCGCGGCGCGGCCCGCGCGCGCGCGCGCCCTTCTCGGGCTGCACCACGGCGCGCCCCGCGGGGCCCCGCGCGCGCGGCGCGGAAGCGCCCGGGGGGCCGCCGAGGAAGCAGGCCGAGGACGAGGAGCAGTCGTGCACCGCGGGTGGCCGCCGAGGGGGCTCGCGTCGGCTCACAGGAGAGGGCAAAAAGTCCCCCCCCAATAGTAACCACCCCGACGAGCGAGGCCGTCTCGTAAGCGCGCCCATAAGAAGGAATCGAACAGGGCAAGGCTGTTTAGCAAACGCCCAAGGCCGCTTAGTAAACGCCGATTGTGCGGTCCGGGTGGTTTTTCCTCCCCTGACAGAGGGGTCTCAGGGCCGACGCGGGGGTCTTCGGGGGGCGACAGAGGCCCTCAGAAGGCCCTCTCTCGTGCTCCTCCTGGAGCCCGCCGGTGCCCCAGAGAGGTCCCTGCAGGGCCTCCATCCATCGGGCCCTTCCCTCCCCCCCCACATCGACGCGGAGGTCCCCGTGCCGCTCCCCAAACCGCACAGGCAGGCGACGGCCTTCCCTGGCGGGGCCCCGACGCGGGGGCAGCGGAGAGCGCGGCGCCTCGCGCGCGCGGCGCTTCGCGAGGCGCGGGACGGATCGGCCAGCCGCCAGCGACTGGCAGAGGCCAGCGAGGCGCTGGGCTCTCCGCCGTCGGGCCCCGCCGGCCCGGCCCGCCCGCCCGCTGGGGGCCTGCTCGCCCCGAGCTGCCCGGCCGGTTCTGTCGCGTGATGTTTCGGCTCCCAGCTCTCCCCCTCCTCGTGTTCCCTCCGCCTCCTCCTTCTCCTCCTCCTCCTCCTCCTCCTCCTCCTCCTCCTCCTCCTCCTCCTCCTCCTCCCCCTCGTCCCGTCGTCCTCGCTGCCGTCATCGTCATTCTGCCGCGCGTTCAGGAGGCGGCCGCTACGCTGGAGCACGCCCCACTGCACAAGTCCCGGAGCTCTCTGATTTCTCTCGTCCTCCGTCCCTCGTCCTCCCCCCCTTGCCATCCGTCCTGTCCTCCGCTGCTGCAGGGGCTGCGCTGCATGCGCGTGGAGCAGGCAAGGAAGACATACCCCCTCATGGGGGTACTGTCTACCGCCTGGTTCTGTCGCGTGGTTACGGCTCCCAGCTCTCTTCCTGCTGAGTTCTCTCGTGCTCCGTCCCTCGTCCCCCCCCTTGCCATCCGTCCTGTCCTCCGCTGTTGCAGGGGCTACGCTGCATGCACGTGGGGCAGGCAAGGAAGACGTACCCCCTAAAGAGGATACGACCGAAGACGGCAAGGGGCGGGTACCCAGGGTTTGGATATACGTGTTGAGCACGCGAGCAGATGGGAGGAACAGTCTTAAAATGATTGTCGGTGTTGCTGCTGCTGCTGCTGTTGTTTGTCGTGTTTGTTGTTGTTACTGTTGTTGTTCCTGTTGTTGCTGCTGCTGTTGCGCTGTTGCGTTGAATTTTCATTTCCTGCAATAGTCATGGCCGATCCCCCCTCACCGGTACCCATGTTTTTCAAAAGTGCTCCTCCTCGGGCTCGCACTCTGTTTTTTGTTACAAGGGAACATATTGCGCCTCGGACTGTGCCCTTGGCCCTGATGTACAACAACAACAACAACAACAACAACAACAACAACAACAACAACAACAACAACAACAGCGGCTCGTGCCTGACACTTCTTCACCATTTATTCAAAATCGCGCTCTCGCGCGAGACTTCCTCACACTTGTTCCAGGGATCGCGCTCTCGCGTAGAAACCTCCTCGCAAGTCATTCCTACGCCGCGCCATCGGCACTCAGGAATCAAGCTTTCGCCTGTGGACCTCCGCACACTTTACATGGGAATCCCGCTATCGTTCGAGCCTTCTTCGCGATTCACGCAGGACCGACGCTTCAACGGCCCGCCCGCTCGATCTGGCCGTCTGGGCCCGCCCGCCCGACCCGCCCGTCAGGGTCCGCCCGCCCGACCCCAGGTGGCTCTGCCTCCCGTTTTCCTGCTCCAAGCCTCCCTCCTGCTAATCCCTCTCGTGCTCTATCCTTGTCCCTATCCCTTCTCTCTTCCCCCATCCCTCGCTTCCCGTGTATTAGGGGCTGCGCCGTTTACACGTGGCAGGCAGGAGGGCACGATCGAAGACGAAGAGGATACACCCTGTTGACTGGCGCGCGAGCAATGAAGAACGAACAATACCAACATGATTGATGCTGTCTTTGTCCCCGTCCTCGCCCGCGACCCACCCACATTGCTTTGTCGAAAACTGGGCGCCTGCGGCGGGCTCGTTGCGCAATGTGTTAAGAAGCGGCGTCTGCGGCGGGCTTCTTCAGAGCATCGCAGACTGCCGACAACGCCACCGCCCCGTCACTCGTATCCGCAACTGCAGGGTGCGCGTAACAACACTGAGTGATAAGAGGAACGATCCTCCTCATTTGAGCCAGGGACCGACCGTCCCGGCATTCCTATAGGCCTACCACGACATGCTCATAGAATCCACACATGTTCTAAGAACAAAGGCAATGTTCTTAGAACATGTCGTGCAACCACGAAAGGTTTTTATAACATTCTTTGGCAGGCCTGTCGGCGAGCCAGGACGCTCGCCACTGCTTGACTCATCCTCCCCGTCCTCCTTCCCCCCCCTCTTCCTCCTCCTCCTCCTCCTCCTCCTCCTCCTCCTCCATCGCCCCCTCCTCGCTCGCTCGCCGTGCCGCCCCCCCCCGCACGGGGGGGCCCCTCCTGGAGTGGTCCGCCAGGTGGGAGTAGCCCGACGTGAGGCCCCGCCGCTCGCAGGCGTCCGCGATCGACGCGTAGGCCGGCCTCGGCCGGGGCGCACCGCGAGGCCGAATCGGCTCGCGACGTCGGCTCCGGCGTCGCGAGGTCGGGTCGATCGAGGCCAGATCGGGTCGCCGAGGTCGGAGCAGCCCGCCGTGGGGCCCGCGCCAGGTCGCCCCGATCTGTCCCGCACGCAGCAGGCCGTGGGGGGCCCAGGCCACCTGGTTTTGCAACTCGCGCGCGCGCCGTGCGCCATGCCTTCGTGCGAGGGCGAGGGCGGCTCGTGCGAGAGCAGTGGGGGGTCCCCGGAGGTGTGCGCACGCGCGGGCCTTCTGTTGTGCATCGTTCCGTCAGGTTGCCTGAGCCAGATCGCAGCGCCAACGAATCGCCCCGAATCGAATCGAAATCGGATCGCGACGCCTAGAGTAGCCAGACTTAAAGCTAGCAGTGATTCTCTTCCCTCGGCTCTGGCGAGTCCGACGGAGACTCCGAGACGACATGAGAGCCAGAGTGCACAGAACGACGGGCCGAGCAAAGAACCAAAGACGACTGCTGTAGACAGAGCATGAGCAAAAAGGTACAACCATACTCCCGAAGGTCCACGCGGATGGCAATATCTGCTACAAGAAAGACTCGACCACAAGAAACCTCCCCAAAGAAACGTAAACCCTGAGACCACAGGACGTCCATCGATTTTTGGTGTGGGAACGTCACCACGCTGTCCATAGCAGAACCATCGAAACCCAAGCAACCCAGGGCACCCTGGAGGCAAGCAGGGTGTCTCTTGGCATGGGCCTCCACTAGACTCTCACAGGTCCGCGCGGATTGCACTATCTGCTAGAGTGGGTAGTGCCGAGATCTGGAGTCCCGAAACTTTGCGGTGACAGACCGTGCGGTGACCTCGAAACCCTCCAAGACCTCACCGCACGGTCCGTCACCGCACGGTCTTGGGACCCTGGAGGCCCCTGTCGCCCGAGACATCCTCGGAGAACGACCCGAGTCCCCAAACCGTGCGGTGACCCCGAATCCCCACCGACTCACCGCACGGTGTGGTCACCACCCCGTTTGGGGGCCCCCGACGGGAGGAAAGAGGACAGGACGAAGGAGACGCCGGACCGCGGGATGTAGCTCAGCTTCGCGTCGATCAGCGCGGGGTGGCTCCGGGACAGCTCGCACAGCCGGGCGCGGTTGCTCCACTGCAGCGTCGTCCTGCCGCACGCTCGCGGGCTCTTCTTGGCTTCTGAGTCCTGCGTCGACGATGTGATTTTCGATGATTCGCGCCGGGCGTTTTCGCGCTCCTTCGACGAGATTTGTTTTTCATCAGGGGGCGCCCAGAAACGTGATCACCCCCGTGAGGCAGCAACGGGGTCCACCGTGACAGGTACCAAGCAGCGAGGCGTCTTCGAAGCGGACCAGAGGAAAAAACGTACAGGTCGCCTGTGCATGCCTGTGCAGCAGCAGCGGGTGCGTTCCACGCCGGATTTCAAGCGCGACGGCGACGGGCTGGCGCCCGGACGGACAGACACAGTCCATCAACGATCATGAGGGCGCGGCTGGCCTTGTGGATGCCATGACATGGACACTCTAACAATCCTATCATTGAGTTAAAACATGTTTAAAATTTGTGAAACATGTTCTAAACATGTTTCAAACATGTTTATGCGTATTTAAAACATGTTTGAAGCATGTTTTAGACATCTGGAAATTATTTGGCAGCACGCTTCCTCTCCATTAATCGACTTCAACAAAATTACGCCAGACACGCACAGGAACCAGTGCTGCGACAGCGACAAGCGGGGACGAGACAGACACACTCTTGGCGCCGCGGCGCGGCAAAGGTCATCCGCTCGCCCGGTCGGAAAGTTGTCCGGGGCGCTCGGCTTAGGTCGGGCATGCCACCCTACAGGCGGACGAAAAATTTTGAAATACCCCGAAGATGACCAAAAAGAATCGACAACTCGTCCCCGAACAACTTTAACCTAACAGCGAAGACTGATAGGTTTCTAATGGGGTCAAAAAAGAGCATCTGATGACTCCCCAGGGGGGTCTGGGCGGAAGCCGGACAGGCGAGAACCGGGCTCGTTTTAAGCAAACAGTCGCACACTTCGTGCTCTTCGACCTCCCAGAACTCCATTCCCGGGCCAAATTTTGAATGCCCGGAGCCAACTGTAGTCCACTTCGTGCTCTTCGACTTCCCAGAACTCCATTCCCGGGCCACATTTTGGATGCCCGGAGCCAACTGTAAGCCACTTCGTGCTCTTCGACTTCCCAGAACTCCATTCCCGGGCCACATTTGGATGCCCGGAGCCAACTGTAGGCCACTTCGCGCTCTTGCTGATACCAGTCGGGGCTGTTCTGTCAGATATAGCTGAACAAATCGAGTACTCGAACGCACAAGTGGACTTAGGGAACTTATCGTTGCAACTATTTATGGAAAAAGATGTTCCCAATAAGTTATATTTTCTGAAAAAATAAATCCCAAATAAGTTCCGTAAGTTCCCGAGCCCCCCTACCCGCCGCGGCCCTTCGGGCTCGTCCTTGAATGGGTTGTGCAATGGAGGAGGGAGGCGGAATAGGAGGCGGAGTGGGAGGATCAAGAGAGTGAGAGTGACGATGATGCTGATGATGATGATGTTGATGATGATGAGACGGACGAGGATGATCATGCTGATGATGATGATGATGATCATGATGATGGTGATGATGACGGTGATGATGACGGTGACGGTGATGGTGATGTTGATGATTGACGATGCTTTTTCCCGCCCTCAATTAGACTCCGAGCGTGGGTCGACCCACTCGGTGGTGACCTCGAGGGTGACCTTGAAACTGGCCCTCTTTGGGCGCCTGTAGTCGTACTGGTCGACGTCGGGACTTGGTGGCCCTCCTGAACCATACATCGTCAGGAAGGCCTTCTTCAACCATGGGTTGGTCACGTCCTCGATGCACTTCCACTCCTGCTCGACCTTCTTGACCCGCTTCTCGGGCGGCTGGAAAATCTGGATCAGGTAGTCGCCGCCGCGCTCGGGCTTCTTGTCGGGTTCGGCGCGCGCGGCCTCTCTAGGCGGGCTCGGAGGCGGCCCCTCGGGAGTCCACGGGGCGGGCGTCTCGGCCTCGGCCTCTGCCATGGCGCGAAGGGCCTCGGCCTCTTGCATGGCTCTCGTCGGCGGGGGAGTGCGCGGGGCGCTGGATGACATGGCGAGCGGGGGAGTGCGCGGGGCCTGGGATGACATCAGACCACAGCTTTGGGCCACTGGCAAAGGTATGCACACATATATGGGGTCAGCACCGTTTCAGCGGGTGAGCCGCTGTGGCGAAACCAAAATGACGGTGCCAAAAGGGCGGGTGTCTGTGATTGTGATGATGTCGATGCGGGTGTAGGAAGGAGGAATGACATTTTTGCCCAACCATCCTGTGGTGTTGGGCCCTCGTCGTCGTCGTCCTCCTTGGCCCCTCGGGCTCGTCCTTGAATGGGTTGCGCAATGGAGGAGGGAGGAGGGATAGGAGGCGGAGTGGGAGGATCAAGAGAGTCAGAGTGATGATGATGCTGATGATGATGATGTTGATGATGATGAGACGGATGAGGATGATCATGCTGATGATGATGACCATGGTGATGATGATGACGGTGATGATGACGGTGATGGTGATGGTGATGGTGATGTTGATGGTTGACGATGCTTTTTCCCGCCCCTCGGGCTCGCCCTTGAATGGGTTGCGCAATGGAGGAGGGAGGAGGGATAGGAGGCGGAGTGGGAGGATCAAGAGAGTCAGAGTGATGATGATGCTGATGATGATGATGTTGATGATGATGAGACGGATGAGGATGATCATGCTGATGATGATGACCATGGTGATGATGATGACGGTGATGATGACGGTGATGGTGATGGTGATGGTGATGTTGATGGTTGACGATGCTTTTTCCCGCCCCTCGGGCTCGCCCTTGAATGGGTTGCGCAATGGAGGAGGGAGGAGGGATAGGAGGCGGAGTGGGAGGATCAAGAGAGTCAGAGTGATGATGATGCTGATGATGATGATGTTGATGATGATGAGACGGATGAGGATGATCATGATGATGATGATGACCATGATGATGATGACGGTGATGATGACGGTGATGGTGATGGTGATGGTGATGTTGATGATTGACGATGCTTTTTCCCGCCCTCAATTAGACTCCGAGCGTGGGTCGACCCACTCAGTCTCTACTTCGAGGGTCACCTTGAACGTGGCCCTCAGATGGGGGCCCTCCTGAACCATACATGTTCAGGAAGGCGGCCTTCAACCATGGGTTTCCTCGATGCACTTCCACGTCTGCTCGACCTTCTTGACCCGCTGGAAGATCTCGATCAGGTAGTCGCCGCCGCGCTCGGGCTTCGTCTCGGGTTCGGCGCGCGCGGCCTCTGCCATGGCTCTCGGCGGGCTCGGAGGCGGCGGGCTCGGGGGAGTCCACGAGGCGCGACTCGTCTCGGCTTCGGCGCGCACGGCCTCGGCCTCTGCCATGGCTCTCGTCGGCAGGAGCGGGGGGGTGCGCGGGGCGCGACTCGTCTCGGCTGCGGCGCGCGCGGCCTCGGCCCCTGTCATGGCTCTCGAGAGCGGGGGAGTGCGCGGGGCGCGGGAACGCGGGCTTGACATCAGACCGCAACTTTGGGCCACTGGCAAAGGCATGCACACATATCACTCATGCGGGGTCAGAGCGGACACGCGCGCCGCTTCAGCGGGTGAGCCGCTGTGGTGAAACCAAAATGACGATGCCAAAAAAGCGGATGTCTGTGATTGTGTTGATGTCGATGCGGGTGTAGGACGGAGGAATGACACTTGTTGCCCAACCATCCTGTGGTGTTGGGCCCTCGTCGTCGTCCTCCTCCTCCTCCTCCTTCTCCTCCTCCCCACCTTATAGTTCTAATTCAGAAGTCCCTGAGTCCCCTCGAGGCCCCTGATCCCCGACCGCGCCCCAGGGAGCAAGGCCGCCCCGCGAGGGCGGGGAGGGCCGCGCCCTATTCATGTTTCACCGTGGCCGGAGACAGGGCCCCACCCCCATGTTTCACCTATTCATGTTTCCCATGATTCACCCCCGCCCCTGTGCCCCCGCCTTTCAAGGGGGAAGCCTTCGTTCTCGAGGTCGAGGACATGGCAGCGGTGCGTAAGAGAGTGCGGCCGTTTCGGAAAGGAGGGGGGTGGGGGGCCGATGGGACGACGACGACGACGACGATGACGACGACGACGACGACGACGGCGAAAGGCCCCAGTGGCAGGGCTCGCTCGGGCCATTTCGGCACACCCCGCACGAGGATCGTGGCCCCATAGGGAGCTCCACCGAAGGCCCCAGTGGCAAGGTTCGCATGGCGGCCTCGGGCCATTTCGGTACACCCCCCTCACGAGGGTCGTGGCCCCATAGGGAGCTCTACCGAAGGCCCCAGTGGCAGGGTTCGCATGGCTGCCTCGGGCCATTTCGGCACACCCGCCACGATGATCGAAGCCCCATAGGGAGCTCCACCGAAGGCCTCCGTGGGAGGGTTAGCACGGCGGCCTCGGGCCATTTCGGCGCACCCCTCACGAGGACCGTGGCCCCATAGGGAGCTCCACCGAAGGCCCCAGTGGCAAGGTTCGCATGGCGACCTCGGGCCATTTCGGCACACCCCTCACGGGGATCGTGGCCCTGTGGGGAGCTCCACCGAAGGCCCCAGTGGCAGGGTTAGCATGGCGGCCTCGGGCCATTTCGGCACACCCCGCACGAGGATCGTGGCCCCATAGGGAGCTCCACCGAAGGCCCCAGTGGCAAGGTTCGCATGGTGGCCTCTGCCATTTCGGCACACCCCTCACGAGGATCGTGGCCCTGTGGGGAGCTCCACCGAAGGCTTCAGTGGCAGGGTTCGCATGGCGGCCTCGGGCCATTTCGGAGCACCCCTCACGAGGACCGTGGCCCCATAGGCAGCTCCACCGAAGGCCCCAGTGGCAGGATTGGCATGGCGGCCTCGGGCCATTTCGGCACACCCCTCACGAGGATCGTGGCCCTGTGGGGAGCTCCACCGAAGGCCTCATTGACAGGGTTCGCATGGCGGCCTCGGGCCATTTCGGCACACCCCTCACGCGGATCGTGGCCCTGTGGGGAGCTCCACCGAAGGCCCCAATGGCAGGGTTCGCATGGCGGCCTCGGGCCATTTCGGCACACCACTCATTCGTAGCGTGGCCCCATAGAGGGCTCC